CACCTGGAACTCACCTCTAACCTCTTTTGTCATCCATGCCGCCCATTTTTTTCTACTTGGTATTTGTGACATAGTTACCTTTACATATGTTTGTTTTACAGTGATCCTTTCATATCATTGCAAGTCTAGTGAAGTCTTCAGCCCCTGAGGGCAGAGCCAACAGGGTCTATTTCTTTATCTGATGCTACAACCAATGTAAATAGAGGGCTGAGGGTAGAGACTGCGACTGCCTTGCGGGTAGGTGCCTTTGTTCAGGAGGAGGGAGCTTGAATGGCGGAGGCTGCACCTGGAGGCCGCACCTGGAGGCCCCAGGAGAGGAGTCAGGTCTTCTCGATCTGCAGATGTTTGAGCCTGGGAATGAAGGAATTGCTGAACTTCTGAAGGAGCGCCCTTGCCGCGACCAACCTTGCAAATCGGAAAATGAGAAATCCAGGGAACGCTCGGAGTGACGGTGGGGCCCTGGGACTCGAAGCCTGACCGCCTCACGCCGCGCTTTTTGAGTCCCCCCCATTCACCTGTAGTGTGGAGGCGGGAGCCCCCCCAAACACTCCCCGATCTGGAGCGCTCCCAATGTCTGCGCGCGCCTGCTGTCACTCTCCGTCTGTGTGCTGAGTTTTCCTGCAGCTTCTTGGGCCTCCTATCTATCTGTAAGCTTTTTCTTTTTTCTTTTTTTTTTTTTTTTTGGTTGTGCTTCTGAGAAACTCACTTTTCACAACTTTCTCCCGGCTCTCCCAGGCTGTCCGAAAGCTACGGCTTGCTTTCGCTCGGACCCCCGGCTCCCTCCGGGCAGGAGGCTGGGGAGAAGCCCCTTCCCTCCCCTCCCGGGCCCCCGGCCCCGCGCTAATCTCTTCCAGAGCTGGGGGAGGGGCCGGGCGGCCTTCCCGGAGGCGGGGCGCTCCTTGCCGCCCGGCCTGGGCGGGCCCTGGGAACGGGCGGGGAACGGCCTCGCCCCCCGGCCCCGCGCCCCTCGGACCGGAGGAGAGGGGTTGGCCCAGCGCCAGCGTCGGAGCGCCGGCCCCCCTCCCCGGGCCGCTCGCAGCCAACCAGGCCCTCCAGCGGGGCCCACGTGACCTGGAGTCCTAGACAAAGAAAATGTTCCCTCCCTCCCCCCCGCCGCCCCCCTCCCCTCACAGTGGCCCCCTCCGCCCCCAGCCCCATCGCCCCCTTCCCCTCCCCCCAGACGGGCAGCTACTTCCAGAGCTTCAGGGCCGGGGCTCACACCTGAGCGCTACCGCAGAGGGGCTGCACCTGGCCTTATGGGTAGGTTCCTGGACGGAGCCCCGGGGAGACCGGGGGCGGGGAGGCGGCAGGGCCGGTGGGAGGATCTCCGCAGCCCTCCGGGTTCGAAAAGAGTCAAGTATGCCTCCCCGGCCCGCAGCAGCTGCGGCGTCCCGGCCCGGCCTGAGTTCTGGAGATGCTGACTTAGTGCTGGCCCGCCGCCTCCCTGCCCACGAGCCCCAAGGCCCCACTCCTCGTGGGCTCCAGTGGCACCTGGCTCCCTCGGGGGACAGGAAGCGCAGCCGGCCGGGAGCCCGGGCCGTGGTAACTGCAAGCTGGGGCACGCGGAGCTGGTGGCCCAGGAGCTGGGTTGGAGGCAGCTTCAGCTGAGCTGGCAGATGGGTGCCTGGCACTTCCCTGTTGACCTGCGTTCCGGGCTGGGGACCACGCTGTCCTCAGGGCCCTGCCAGCTCGCGGCCTTTGGAGAGGGACAGCTTCCTCTCCTGCGAGTTCCTGGAAGCCTCAGGGCAGGGCGCCAGAAAGAAGTGGTGGGGTGTGGGAGGGCACAGTGCGACCCTGACAGGGGACCGGCCTGTGACACCAGGGTAGCCCAAGGCCGCGTGGGCTTGGAGGAGGTGGCGCGCAGACCTCTGACCTTTGGAATGGGAAGCGCTGCAGTCGCCGGGGGAGGGAGAGGGGGAGGCGGCACAGCTGCCTGAGGAGATGGGACTGGACGGGAGGCAGTAGTCACCGGAGTTCCCGGTGGCTTTCTCAGGCTGGAGGAACTCCAGGCCCAGTGGCTTCCGTGAGCCAGCGGGGAGTGAGGAAATGGTGTGGTGGCTCTCTTGAATGCCACCTGGTCTCTCTGCCCTCCTGGGGGTGAGCAGCCTGCAGCCCAAATGGGAGAGCCTCGAGTTCACCCCTGTGTCTCTTACTGTTTGCCGGGGAGGAAGGTAGGAGTGCAGGAGGAAAGGGGGTGCTTTCCCAGTGCCCCAGACAGGCCTATTCTAATGAGGCCCTTCCCCCACCCAGCTCCGGCTGCCTCTTCTCCTTTCGTCAGGCCTCCCGCTGCTAACCCACCCCCTTCTTCCTTCCCCAGCCCCACTGCCCCAGTCCCGACGGAGGCCCCTTCCTCCTCCGCCGCCCTCACCGGGCCGGGCGCGTGTTCTGCACCAAGTGGGCTGGGGATGCTGAACGGCTCGCAGCGCAGCAGCTGACAAGCTGGGGGAAGTTGTGGGGGAAGAAGAATGTTCAGGAACTCGCTGTGAAGGGGCTGAGAAGAGAGACAAAGGGGCCGTGGGGGAGTGCTGAGGGTGGTGTCAGGCACGACTCCTAGACCTGGGGAACCAGGGAAGGAGCCCGGCCCGCCCGCTGCTGCTGCCTCTGCCGTGGAAGTGATAGCGGGTCCTTTCCGCTTCCCGCCCCCTGCCCCTTGCAGACCTTGTACTGGCTCAGGGGCCTCACCACCTCTGGAAACAGGGTCTTTGGATCATCCAAGGCACCACCCTAGGTCAACCACCCATGCCTGAAGCTTGAGAAGGTGTGGTGGGTGAGGAGCAGCGGCGAGGTGTGAGCTCCTCTGTGAGGGCAACTGACGCAGCTGAGGATCCCAGGCAGGGAGGCGCCCTCCCCCGTAGGGGGTCCACACTTCAGTGCATCTTCTCCTGGGAGAGGAGGTGATGGCTAATTGATAGTAGGAAGGGGAAGGCAGAGTCCTGGCCAGGTGAGAGTGGGACTAGGGAGCGATGAGCAATTACTCCGCGTTCTTCCACCCCCACAGCCCGATCCCTGAGCTCATTCCACCATCCATGAGCTCATTTTCCCAGCTGTTTGGGGGTTGGGGGCAAAGGATGCATTATCCTGTTTTAGAATTTGTTGAGTCAGAGGAAGAACTAGGACTAACATCTTCAGTGTTTTCAGACTCGCCATAAGAAACAGAATTGTCTGTGGCTTGGAGGCAAAGACTTGAAGACTCAATGAAATTAAATGAATCTGTAAGATAATACCTACTTAGACCATTGAGCTTCAAACAAAGGTTCTTAATCTGGGACCCTTGGATCTAGGGGTCCATTGACAGGCTTTGGGAGAATCCTTGGAATCACTGGTTCATATGTACACCAGATTTGTAAACAGGGCAGGAAAGCTTGCCCAAAATCCTCCTGTTCAAGTGCCTGTTTAGATTGGAGCATCTCCTACCAGAAAGGACTGCTCCAGAGTCAGCTGCTGGTTGTGAGGCTCTGTCTTGAGATTAGAGCTCTTCCTCATACTCCACGGTGTTTCCCCATCCTCTTTGCCCTTGAGGTTGGGTTTGCATTTGAAGCTCTAGGCCCCTGGGGGAAGCGCCTTTTGAAAGGCATGTAGAAAATGGGGTTTTTCCTGTCTGAATCTAGTATGGTGGAAATGGGTGTGGAGCCTTGAAGTCAGAGGGCCGTGTCTCCTAGATTCAGTAAAAGGCTAATGGTTCTCCGCTAAGTATCAAGGATTTCATTCTCCTTTGTAGGGATCCTGGAGCGGGTTGTGAGAAGGAATGGGCGCGTGGATCGTAGCCTGAAAGACGAGTGTGATGCGGTGAAAGGATGGAGGCTGTGCAATGGGAGAATAACTGGGGTTTGGATTATTAATTTGTTGGTGGGATGGCAGAGAGCACGCCTGGTCTATAGTGCCTGCTCAGTAAATAACTGAATGAATACATATATTTATGGATCTGAAGGGTGCACACAGAAGGGGTTGAATCTGGTAACAATACACTCTGGGTGTGATCCATAAGAACTCCAGCATGGCATCTGAGCATGGGAACAGGCAGGCTCTTCGGGGAGCTTCCTATGGTGTTTGAGCATGTCCTGGGGGAGATGGGCTCGTTAAACCCAGAGCAGTGATTTCATTGTCAGCAGACATCACAGAACTAGAATTGTGGCCTGGAAACCAGGAATAGGAGGGATTGATTGCCCAGGGAAGTTTTGGAGAAGAAGAAAGGGTCCCCCCTGCTTTTTTAATTTTTGGTGACAGGGTCTTGCTATGTTGCCCAAGCTGGTCTTGAACACCTGGGCTCAAATGATCCTCCCTGCTCAGTAACTGAAATTACAGGCACATGCCTGGCTGAAGATCCTAGTCTTAAGAAGTAAGATAGGAGAAGGTGGAACCAATATCTGTGCCTAGTGCCTGATTAATGTTTGGATAGAATTAACATTTCTATTAGGCCAGGCAATGGCTATAATCCCAGCACTTTGGGAGGCCAAGGCGGGGAATCACCTGAGGTAAGGAGTTCGAGACCACCCTGACCAACATGGTGAAACCCCATCTCTACTAAAAACACAAAAATTAGCTGGGTGTGGTTGTACATGACTGTAATCCCAACTACTCAGGAGGCTGAGACAGGAGAATCACTTGAACCTGGGAGGTGGAGGTTGCAGTGAGCTGAGATTGCACCAGTGCACTCCAGCCTTGGCGACAGAGTGAGACTCCGCCTCAAAAAAGAAAAAGAATTAACATTTCCGTATCATAGGGTGGGCAACCGATATGCTGATGAGGTTGAGGAATGTTAGATGGGGAGGAAGCTTTCCTAAAAGGCAGAAAAGAAGGCTGGAATTTCGTGATTTGAGTTTACCTCTCTACTTCAGATCTTTCCAGTTTTCATGGCAAGGCAGTTGGTTGGCTCTCTCCAGCCCTTGACCTTCTGTCACTGTCCCAGGTTTTGACACACTTGTTGAGAAGGTCCCCTTGAGTGTCAGGTGGCCTTGCCAATTCCTGGAGAGGTCAAGGTGACTTGCTTTTTGTTTCCCCAGGCTGAGAAGAAAGCCAAGGTTATTGCAGTAATGAATGCTGTGGAAGAAAATCAGGGTTCCGGGGAGTCTCAGAAGGTGGAGGAGGCCAGCCCTCCTGCTGTGCAGCAGCCCACTGACCCCGCATCCCCCACTGTGGCCACCACGCCAGAGCCCGTGGGGGCCGATGCTGGGGACAAGAATGCCACCAAAGCAGGCGATGATGAGCCGGAGTACGAGGTGAGCGGCTTGCTTCTTCACCAGCCGTGGCCAGCTCTTTCCGGGGGCCTTCCACTGCCAGCTCCTCCCGTCCTGCTCTCCTCTCTCCATCTCCCACGGGCCGCTCGCTCTCTCCACCTGACCCTGGGCCTCTTCGTCTCCCCGATTTTGCTCTGTCTTGCCTCATTCAGATGGAGCTCCTTCCTGGCTGTCCTGCCCCCCAGATGCCCAGGGCTGGGGTTGCCATGGGGGGATCAGGGTGGCAGGGCCTCGTGACCACTGTGTAATGATTTCTGCTCCTTGGGGCTCCAGGACGGCCGGGGCTTTGGCATTGGGGAGCTGGTGTGGGGGAAACTGCGGGGCTTCTCCTGGTGGCCAGGCCGCATTGTGTCTTGGTGGATGACGGGCCGGAGCCGAGCAGCTGAAGGCACCCGCTGGGTCATGTGGTTCGGAGACGGCAAGTTCTCAGTGGTGAGTTGTGGGTTTGGCAGTAGCCTGGGGTAGGGGGAAGGTTCTTGATCCCAGAGCCTGTGGTTTCGGCTGGGGGCAATCTGGAATCGGGGTGATGGAAGTGGGTTCTACTCTCCCCCACACTGCCTGTGGTGGCTGGAAGAAGCCTTAGGGATAATTAGGTTGCACCTGTGGCTCAGAGAGCTCAGATGCCCGCCCAGTTTTAGCCTTCCAGGAACCTATTCACTAGAATTCCTTTCCACTTGCGCTCAGGTACTTCCCTACTCTTGGTCTGGACTCCTCTGTTTGTGTCAGGTTGTTGTTTGTCACTGCATCTCAGCCCCTCCAGGGCTGAGACTGACTCTCAGCGCTCCCAGCCCGAGGCACGGGTGGGTGCTTGCAAGTGGAAGCAGCAGCAAGCAAGGCCTGGCTTGTCCCTGCAGGTGTGTGTTGAGAAGCTGATGCCGCTGAGCTCGTTTTGCAGTGCGTTCCACCAGGCCACGTACAACAAGCAGCCCATGTACCGCAAAGCCATCTATGAGGTCCTGCAGGTGAGTGTCCCTGCTGGGAGCCTGGAGGAGGCGCCTAGAGCACTAGGAGGCCTGGAAGAGTGCAGGTCGGGCCAGGAGGCAGTGACTCCTTCCTCCCCACCTCAGTTGCCACTTGTGTGCCCTTCTTCTTCTTCCTTAGCAGTTCCCCACCCCCCTTGCCTGTGCCACCCTCACTACTCAGAGTCTGGCCTTAAGCCCTACCCATCTGCCTTCCAGCCTGTCCTGACACCCCCATCCCTGGTGTGTCGCTCTCCAGGTGGCCAGCAGCCGTGCGGGGAAGCTGTTCCCAGTGTGCCACGACAGCGACGAGAGTGACACTGCCAAGGCCGTGGAGGTGCAGAACAAGCAGATGATTGAATGGGCCCTGGGGGGCTTCCAGCCCTCTGGTCCCAAGGGCCTGGAGCCACCAGAAGGTAAATGTGACCACCTAGCCGTCTGGCACCCCTGCCCACCAGGCAGATCCACACCAGGGCTGGGAAAGCCATGCTTAGGGAGGGTGGCCAAGGCCTCCGTGGAGGGGCCCAGTGGGAATGGCCAGGGTCTCCATTGACCCAGGGTCAGGACTTGAGTGACCTGCTCACCCTTGGCTGGCTGGAACCAGAGAGTTGGGAGGTGGGAACAAGTTGGAGAGCAGGCTGCACCTCCCTGTAAGGAGGGGGGGGGAGGGGCCGGGGCTTCCTGTCAACCTGTCACTGACCTTGGCCCCTGCTTTCCTGCTCCAGAGGAGAAGAATCCCTATAAAGAAGTGTACACGGACATGTGGGTGGAACCTGAGGCAGCTGCCTACGCACCACCTCCACCAGCCAAAAAGCCCCGGAAGAGCACAACAGAGAAGCCCAAGGTCAAGGAGATCATCGATGAGCGCACAAGAGGTAGTTGGCCTGCTTCTGGAGAGGGAGGCACTGGGAGGCCTGCATCCGAGGATCCGGCATGACGGCCTCTGACGCCAGCTCTCCTCCCCTTGCAGAGCGGCTGGTGTACGAGGTGCGGCAGAAGTGCCGGAACATCGAGGGTGAGTTTGGCGCCTGGAAACTCCAGTGCTCCTAGTATGGTGTGGGACAGAGGAGCGTAGGCACTTAGGAAGGTTTGAATGACAGGGACCAGGGGCGATGTCCTGCGTGTCACACCACCTCCACCCCACTTGTCGCACCATCTTCCTGGTGCCAATCCTGCTCTCCTGTCAATGGCCTGGGCTGGTCTTCAGGGTTTAGGACTCCCCAGTGACCAGAGGAGGGCACCCCTCTTGGATGTGATGTAACTCGCCTGCCGGTCACCTTTCAGCCTTTCACCTTTACTCACTGTTGTCATCCCTGGTCTGTCTCCCTCAACCGAGTGCTGGTGGAGCTGGCTCAGGACCCTCAGGGCCTGGGAGGACTGGGGCAGGGGCAGGACTTGAGGATGGCTCTGGAATCCCTCCGGAGTAGACTGGAGCCAGGGCTGTGTCTCATGAGCAGGTTTCTGCCCTCCTGTCACTCCATCTCTGTTCGTGGATGGTGGCATTGGTGCTCTGAGGTGGTGCCTTCTGAGACTGGGGCCACAGTGCCTCCGTTTTCCATGGAACACCCTGGACTCTTTTTCTGGCTTCCACTCTGGCACACCCTTTTTTTGTGGCTGGTCTGGTGCTGGGTTCCAGCCCGGGGAGGGAGAGGCCCTTGGGTGGACTCACTCCATCCCCTCGCTCTGCTTTCCAGACATCTGCATCTCCTGTGGAAGTCTAAACGTCACCCTGGAACACCCCCTCTTCATTGGAGGAATGTGCCAAAACTGCAAGGTAGGGGCACCCCTGTCCAGGAGAGGTGCCGTTGAGGGTGGACCTTCGGCCTGCTGGCTGACTGTGCCCACCACTTCTGGGCATGTATGGGGGTGACACCTGGTATGCGTGGATATAGACTTCAGAGCTTCCTCTGGAAGCAGAGTCCTGTGACATGGGCCCTTGGGCTTCAGGCTTTTCACTTGCTCTCATTTTTCTCCTCTGAAAAATTCTTGTCATCTCTCGAGCCCCATTTTAGTCCCCAGATGTGGGGATGAGGCAGAGCGGCGGGGACCTGCTCAGGCTGAGCGTAGCAGGGTTGCCATGCCCTCAGGAGCCCAGGAGAAAAGCCCAGAGCTACAGGAAGGCCCAAGGTGGTGCTGCAGCCCTTGCCTGGCCTTGCTCTCAGGCTGTTTGGTTCTGTCTATGGCGGTGCATGGGCAGACCTGGTTTCGCCTTCCCAGATCTGCAGCTGGGGCTGACCCTGGCTAGGGAGGTGGTGGCTCTTGTCTCCAGGGCTGAGTCAGGTTCTGCAAGGCTGGGTTCAGAGCCTGCCTTGGTCCTGGCCGTCCTGGGATCCGCCCTGGTGGTTTCTAACCCTCCCCGCTGCTGTCTAGAACTGCTTTCTGGAGTGTGCATACCAGTATGACGACGACGGCTATCAGTCCTACTGCACCATCTGCTGCGGGGGCCGAGAGGTGCTCATGTGCGGGAACAACAACTGCTGCAGGTGAGGCTGGCCTCCCTCCCCTCCCCCCTCCTCCCTTCCCCCTTCTCTCCCCTCCCACCCGGCTCACTCGTCCCCCTCCCCATAGACCGCCAACCCCAACCATGCTGGCCTCCTTCCACTGACTCTGCTTCCCTCCCCTTCCCTCCCCACAGACCCTCAGCCCCTATTCCCAACCCCATAGCCATGCTCCAGACCCAGTCTTTCCATTCCGGGTAGCAGAGCTTGGCTTCCCTGGACCAGGGCTGAGAGTCCCCTCTGCTACTGGGTTTCCTTCCAGGTGCTTTTGCGTGGAATGTGTGGACCTCTTGGTGGGGCCGGGGGCTGCCCAGGCAGCCATTAAGGAAGACCCCTGGAACTGCTACATGTGTGGGCACAAGGGCACCTACGGGCTGCTGCGGCGGCGAGACGACTGGCCCTCCCGGCTCCAGATGTTCTTCGCTAATAACCACGACCAGGAATTTGTGAGTGCTGGGTGGTCTCGAGCTCCCTAGGCTGAGCCTTGGTTGTGGGGCCTGAGCTTCACACGGGATGTGCGGGTCTAGAAGCCTGGCTGGAGGGTCAGCGCTGGGTGGGAGTATGGGACACGGCTGGGCGTGCACCTGACATGTTGTGCTCACTGCTTAGGACCCCCCAAAGGTTTACCCACCTGTCCCAGCTGAGAAGAGGAAGCCCATCCGGGTGCTGTCTCTCTTTGACGGAATTGCTACAGGTGAGGGCTCAGGCCCAAGAGGTGCTGGCTACCTTGTACCAGAATGGGGGAGCCATGTGTGTGGGCAAAACGAAATGATGGTTAGCTTCATAGCTGTTAAAATATCACCCCAAAGAGGAAACGTGTGTGAAGTGAAAACGTATGCAGTCCATGGAGTTAGATTTGACCAAAAATAAAAAGGTGGACTAGCTGGGAAAGCAGCCTGTGTGCTGGGCACTTCCCTTAGTGGTGAAGACTCAGCAGCAGAGGATGGAGTGATCATTAGTCGGATTCACAGAGATTTCACAGAGCCTCGAAGGACAGACTCAGCAAGACAGAAACATACACAGTTCTCTTGTGTTTTGATTATACACAAGATCTAAAGAAAGCTATTTAAATCACCCTTTATCCTTTTATTAATATTTTGGCATACGTCCTTTTTGGATTCTTTTCTGTGCATGTGTTTATGTAACCATACATTCATAGATAGATAAATTAAGTGGATAGTGAATGCCCATGGTTTCGTAACTTGCCTTGCATTTATTGTGACTGCTTTTTCATGGCAAACAATATAAAGCTACATTCTTTTTTTTTTTTTTTTCTTTTTGAGACAGTCTTGCTCTGTCACCCAGGCTGGAGTGCAGTGGTGCAATCTCCACTCACTGCAACCTCCGCCTCCTGGGTTCAAGCAATTCTCCTGCCTCAACCTCCCAAGGCACTGGGATTACAGGCACGTACCACCACCTCTGGCTAATTTTTGTATTTTTTAGTAGAGACGGGATTTCACCATGTTAGCCAGGCTGGTCTCAAACCCTGACCTCAGGTGATCCACCTGCCTCAGCCTCCCAAAGTGCTGGGATTACAGACTTGAGCCACCATGCCCAGCTAAAGCTACATTCTTTATTTGTAAGTGCTGCATAGGGTTCACTTGAGTCGAAGTGTCGTGATTTATTTAATGAACTCCTATAAGGTCATTTACTATTTTTTTTATTATTATAAGCAGTGTTGTGACAAGCATCTTGATATAATAACTTTGTATACTTCAACCATTCCCTCCTTAGGAAAACCTTTAGGAGATGCTGGGTCACCCTATAGGCATTGTCTGCTTTATGTGGCTCTGGACACTGCAAAAAGCATCCTAGGTGGTTGTGAAGACACATCCAGCCCTCTGCCCTGCCCCCCAGCCAAGGGTTTCCCCAGCTCTTCTTAGAATTGGTGTCTTTGTTTTGGCCAGAGGGAAGATAGGTGGTCTCAACCCAGGAACCCTGGCTAGAGGGCAGCGTAGGGGTGGCTTCCTGGGCCACATGTTTGTCTCCTGTTCTCAGCTCCATGCTGCTCTTCTCTAAACCTAGAGAGGTTCATTTACAGCTTTTTGTTTCCCAGGCTGGAACCTTGAGACCTTCTTAAATCATGTCACACTCCAGGAGGCTTTAAAAGCTCCTTGGTGGGGGGATGTGTTTGGAGCAGCAGAAGCAGTGCCATACCCTGTTTCTCCTGAGGTCCTCTCGGTGTCTGCTCTGATTGTTTCCTTGCCTCAGTTTGGCCAGCATTTCTGGAGGGGGAGGGATCGTGGTAAGGAAATCAGTGTGGTTAGCTGGGAGGAAAACACAATGGAGGAGGCCTCCTCCCTCTGGAAGAGGCTTTGCAACTCCTGAGAGGACTGAGTGAGGAATGGAAGCCACTCTGATGGGGAGGCAGGGATGCACAGAGCTGGGGACTCACAGCAGATGGGGCAGCGAGTCCAGGGTGGGTGGGGCATTGATGAAATCTTTGTGGAGCAGGGAGCATTCGGTTGAGTCTCGAAGGGTGGGGTAGAATTGTAGCAGGAGGTGATAAGAGGGTGTGGAAGGACCCAGCTGTAGATGGAGGACAGTAAAGGCTCCCAAAAAGTCATGTGATTCTTCCTAGATCCTGGAACCCTGTACTCTTGGGTCAGTTTTCCGCAGCTTTGACTGCCTTCCACATAGGCCAAGCGAGGCATGAGACAGAGCCTCGATGTCCTTACTATGGATACGCCAATTGGATCCGGAAAGAATTTAAGGCATCTTCAGGGAAAAGATAGGACTTGGGCCTGCAGCTGACCCCACAGGTCCTGTTGGCCAGCAGGCTCACCTGCCAGGACCAGGGTGCCAGGGAGATGGCTCCAAGTAACAGTGCTGTCTGCCGGCCGGCACAGGGCTCCTGGTGCTGAAGGACTTGGGCATTCAGGTGGACCGCTACATTGCCTCGGAGGTGTGTGAGGACTCCATCACGGTGGGCATGGTGCGGCACCAGGGGAAGATCATGTACGTCGGGGACGTCCGCAGCGTCACACAGAAGCATGTATGTCCGTGCTGTGGGGCGCAGCCTGTCCTCCCCTCCCCGCACACTCGGCCCCTAGAGGCAGCCGTTGCCTCTTTTCATTTTGTTTGCTCTCTTCCTCTTACCTGTTGACCCAGCCTCTTTTTCTCCTTATCTTCCATTTGTCCTCTGTCTTGAGAGGGTAAAGGGCAAATTAAAATGGAGGTTTGGGCTAGGCATGGTGGCTCATGCCTATAATGCCGGCACTTCAGGAGGCCCAGGTGGGAGAATCCCTTGTGGCCAGGGGTTTAAGACCAGCCTGGGCAACATAGTGAGACCCTCTCTCTACAAAAAATTGAAAAAAGAGCCAGGCATGGTGGGACAACCCTGTAGTTCCAGCTACTTGGGAGGCTGAGCCGGGAGGATTACTTGAGCACAAGAGGTCAAGACTGCAGTGAGCTAGCATCACACCACCGCACTGTAGCCTGGGCAGCAGAGCAACACTCTGTCTCTTTAAAAAAAGAAAAAAAGCTATTTGAGGCCTTGCCTACTTGGGCTCTGGCTCCTCCCTGGGCTGGTTTCTGGGCCCTTTATAGTACAGCTCTTTGGATTAGAGAGCGGTTCCTGCCTTCCCAGTGCTTTTGGCAAATAGCTTTACCAGCTTTCATATCTGAGAGGCTCTGGCAGGGTCTTCTGTTGAGCATGACTGCAGGCCCTCTGGAGTCCTGAACGGCGTTTGATGGGCATTCACATGACCCAGATACCCTGCCTAAGACACTCAGCGCGCCGGGTACCTTCAGACTCAGCCGTCCACTAGGGTCGTCTTCCCGTTGGGTGGCCGTGCTGCCTGTCTGGGGCATGCTGGTTTCCCCACTGGCCTGAGAGATGATCCATCTGGTCCCCTTCTTGTTTAGGACTCACCCGTGGCTGCAGTTAGGGTCGTGAGCCTGCAGAGCAGCCGGGTCTCCTCTCTTTCGGGTCAGAGGACTTCTTTGCCAAGTTCACAGATCATTTCTCTTTCTTCCTGTCTGCCTCTGTCCCTGGACAGCAGGCCCATCACGTTGCCTTTATCCTCCCAGATCCAGGAGTGGGGCCCATTCGATCTTGTGATTGGGGGCAGTCCCTGCAATGACCTCTCCATTGTCAACCCTGCTCGCAAGGGCCTCTACGGTAGGTACCATCCTTCCCCTCCACCTTCTCAGCTGGTGCTTCCGCACATAGGTTTCCTCCTTGGATATTTCTGCCCTGGGACAGCTATTCCCGATGACCCTGTCTTCCCATGCCCTCCCTGTGCCCAAGCCACACCACTGTCTGTGCAGGCAGCCCCAGCTGATGGCTTTCTCTTCCGACCTCTCAGAGGGCACTGGCCGGCTCTTCTTTGAGTTCTACCGCCTCCTGCATGATGCGCGGCCCAAGGAGGGAGATGACCGCCCCTTCTTCTGGCTCTTTGAGAATGTGGTGGCCATGGGCGTTAGTGACAAGAGGGACATCTCACGATTTCTCGAGGTATAGCCAGCAACCTTGGTTTGGCCAGCTCACTAATGGCTTCTACCTTGGCCTGCTGCTCCATCCCTGTCTTATCTGCATTGTGGAGCTGGGGACTGGTGAATTCTGCTTTGCAAGGGGCCTGTGGGAAGCCCCAGGCTTTCTGGATTGAAAGGGAGGAAGCAGAGTTAGAGGCCCACCTCAGAAAGAACCAGTGGTCTCACTCCAAGAGGTGGGTGTAGCCCTCCAGGGTTGAAAGACCTGTCACCGAATTGGGTGGGGTGCCTGACTCCTGGGGCTGGGCATTCTGTGTGGTGTCTGTTCACACTAGGACCTTTGAGAGGACAAAAATCGGTTTTCCCTGAGCAAGCAGGGCCTGTCCTCACTCCTGGTCCCATGACATGGCACCTGAGAAGCAAGCAGGACTTAGCTGAGTTTTCATTCCTCCTCATGTGAGTCCCAGTTTAACCCTGAGCCAAGTCTGAGCCATGCACAGAGAGCTTCTGCTGCCAGAGGCATGCTTAGGGTGGCCCGTCTGGGAGCGTGAGCCCACTTGTGCTCCTGAGTCTTGGGAGTGGGTCACACTGCGAGCTGGTGTTCTGACTGTAAGTGAGAGCAGGCCTGTGTCTGAGTTACAATCGGGGCTCATGGTAAACCCACCCACACTCGCTGGAGCCTGTGTTCTCCCAGCCTCTGGGTAGTCTGGAGCTGCACTGTCCAATATGGTAGCCACCAGCCACATGCAGCTATTTATATTAGCATTAGCCATTTGGCTCCACAATCACACTCGTCTCATTTTAGGTACAAAATAGCCACCTGTACTAGTGGGCTAGTGGCCACTGAATTGAACAGTGTAAATAGAGGACATCCCCACCATGAAAGAAGTTCATTTGGACAATGCTGATGTAGAATGTTCGGTGACAGCTTGTAGAATGTGGCTAGGTGTAATTCCAGCTTCTCCTGGAGGCTGCAGGCTAGCCCAGTGAGTGGCTCCTGAGAGAGAAGTAAGAGCCTTTGAGGCTTTCAGGCTCGACACTACAGCATGCCGGCGCTGTTTCGTCTTCCTCCTTGGCTCATCTTCAAACCATCTCCTGTTTTGTAGTCCAACCCTGTGATGATTGATGCCAAAGAAGTGTCAGCTGCACACAGGGCCCGCTACTTCTGGGGTAACCTTCCCGGTATGAACAGGTTGGTGAGAGCTCCTGGGCCTGGGGGGCTGTGGGCTGGGACTGCAGATGGGATGGCCCACGGTTGTGGAGGGGTCACTGAGCCAGGCCCTCTCCGGCCAGCCTCTGCCGAATGGCTAGCTGCTCTGCCGGGTTATTTCCTTTTCCTTGAGGAAGAAGAGTCAGGGTATGGAAAATACTTGTCTGAAACCAAAAACTAGTGGTCTTAAAGCAGGACTTTTAAAATCACTCTCTATACGAAAGAGACGTGTGCTGCCGAGTTAGGTAGTTGGTTTTCCGACATTGGTGATGTGTCCCGAGCCCTCTGATGCTTAGATTCTCCTGAGGCAAAGCCATGGAGCATGGCTTTAGGACTGAGAAGGGGAGTCATGGCCATAGCCTGTTCCAAGAGAGGGAATCTTGCGACGGCTGCATGTGAATTCAGGGTTCTGCTTAATTTTCCTAATCACACACTTCGTTGGCTTCAGGTCCTTTCTTTGAGAGATTTTCTTCAGTTAGATTACACAGATAAAGATTTTAATATCCAGGAGTGAAGAAAATTCATTTCTCAGGTGTAAAACTGGCATTATAAAAAGGCTTTTGAGGCGAAAGAAATTGTCCAGAGTTGGCAATTCAGAAGCACACTGAGAACCACTCAGTCCCTGTCCATTGTGGAGGGAAGTGTTTTCCAGAGTGTTTGGAGTCATGGGTGATAAACCTCCTTGGTCTGCTACTTGGTATAACTAGGAGACATCATTTCACCTGGCCTCAGTCAAATAGTCTCCGTCCTTTCTATTCCCATGAGGTTGTAGGACCTTTCCCATCTCATACGTGTTTGGTAAAGTTGCTGTCGAGGATTTGTTGAGGGGAAGGAGATGGGGCATTGGCGCAGCTGACCTGAAACTGTCCCCTGAGAGTTCCCGAGATACATGTGTATATTGGAAATAGATGGGCTAACAGGGCCCAGTATTTTCATGGAGCCACTTAGTGTCTCCTGACAGACCTTGGTCCTGGGGGATTTCTCGCCTGCTTCTTTCATTTCTAAAATACTGAACTCCGAGCTTCTAGGAGGAGCAGAGGTCCTGCACGCAGGGCCGACTGGACGGTGCATGTGTAAACAGTTGGGTCGCCTGTTGAGTGCCTGACTTGACTGCTGGCCCCCATGGTTCCCTCACTGAGTTCCTGGAGCCAGTGCTTAGGGAAACCTTCCTTAAATATCCTTACCTGTCAGAAGAGGTCAGCGTTGAAGGGGACAGCCTGCACCCTGAGAAGTGATGTGTTTAATGTCAGAATTTTGGTCTTCAGTGAACTGCAGAATTTAAGTATTTTTTTTTGAGACGGAGTCTTGCTCTGTCACCCAGGCTGGAGTGCAAAGGTGTGATCTTGGCTCACTGCAGCCTCTGCCTCCCAGGTTCAAGCGATTCTCCTGCCTCAGCCTCCTGAGTAGCTGGGATTACAGGCACCTGCCACCACACCTGGCTAATTTTTCTATTGTTAGTAGAGATTGGGTTTCACCATGTTGGCGAGGATGGTCTTGAACTCCTGACCTCAGGTGATTGCCTGCCTTGGCCTCCCAAAGGGCTGGGATTACAGGCTTGAGCCACTGCGCCTGGCCCAGAATTTAACTCTTTTAAAACTGTACGTTTAAGACTTGTGGCTTAATGAATCTCATCCAGTGGACACACCCATGTAACAATCACCACAAATCAAGATTCAGAACATTGTCACCCCCAAAGCTTACCTTGCAGTAGGATGCTTGAAGCTCAGTGTATTTTAAACTAACTGACGTAAAGATAGCTGTGCTTTTTTCCCTCTTCTGCTAGGTGTTATCTGCCTATTCGTAGTTTGAGACCACTTTAGAATTTACCTCTACGGATGAATGCTTGGTGGATTTGTGCTTGTGGATGGCTGCAGTGTGTTGGTGTGTTTGCGGGGAGTTTGAAGAGAGTTACGACGTGTGTACATGATTTGGGGAAAGGGACTCTTATAACCCTGTGAATTAGTGGCTGCTGGGGGAGGGAGGGGGTCATGTGGCTGGGGGCCTTCCCGCTGTCCTCCAGGTCGCTGTTGTTACCGTCTCTCTTCTGCCTCCTAGGCCGTTGGCATCCACTGTGAATGATAAGCTGGAGCTGCAGGAGTGTCTGGAGCATGGAAGGATAGCCAAGGTCAGCTCCAGCGGCCAGGACCTCTGCTGGGGGGCAGGGAGAAGGAAGGGCAGGAAGAAGTGGAGCGGTGGCCAGGGCCATGTCCTGCCTGCACCTCCAGCTAGTCTGGAGAATGCAATTTAGGAGCCAGTGCAGGGTCATGCAGCGGGGCAGCCAGAGGAGGGCCTGGGGCTGCTGGCCTTCAGCCCTTCCTCCCTGGTGAGTGTCACCCACCGCCCCCAATAGACACTGAGGAGTCTTTACCAAGACCTGGACTTGCTGTGGCTTGTTTTTCATTTTTAAAATTTTTTGGCCAAAACCTATTGCAGAAGCCTTGAAATCAGAGCAGGCTCCCATGATATGGAAGCTCCATTTCTCTCTGTGGCTGGAATCCCCTGGAGTGAGTACCTGAGGTATTGGGTTCTGTGTCAGCAGGTTCCAGCATTCAGAACCATTGGCAGTTCAGAGGGCATCTTTGAGCCCCTCAGTAACTTGGCATCCTTTAGCCTACAAGTTACTCCACCTCTGAAAGAGCTAATTCTTTAGAAGACTTGGAAGGTATAGTGGCTACGGCTTCTACTTCTAAAGTCTGTGGCTAGGCTGGGCGCAATGGCTCACGCCCATAATCACAGCACTGTGGGAGGCTGAGGCAAGCAGATCACCTGAGGTCAGGAGTTTGAGACCAGCCTGGCCAACATGGTGAAACCCTATCTCCACTAAAAATACAAAAATTAGCTGGGCGTGGTAGCATGCACCTGTAGTCCCAGATACTCGGGAGTCTGAGGCACGAGAATCCCTTGAACCCAGGAGGCGGAAGTTGCAGTGAGCTGAGATTCAATCACTGCTCTACAGCCTAGGTGACAGAGCGAGATTACATCTCAAAAAAAGAAAAAAAAAAAATCTGTGGCTAGATGGATCTGACTACAGTTGGCCAGATGACCTCCAAGCAGGATGAAAAGTGGGGCTGTGGGGTATGCGGAGGCTCCTTGCCTGGTGAACTCTGCTCTCTCAGAGCCATACCCAGGCCCCGGGAGGACCAGACCCTGTCAGGGTTGGCGAGTACCTGGCATACTTGGTAGATGCATGATCAGCGTTGGCTGGTGAATGAATTCGTGCTCAGTCCTCTCTTCTCTTCATCTTCTAGTTCAGCAAAGTGAGGACCATTACTACGAGGTCAAACTCCATAAAGCAAGGCAAAGACCAGCATTTCCCCGTCTTCATGAATGAGAAAGAGGACATCCTATGGTGCACTGAAATGGAAAGGTACCTGAGTTGTGCGGGTCCGGCTGTGGCATGGGGTGTTCTGGTTGCCGTGCTTGCTGGAGGGGTCCTCTGCCTTTCCCACCTGGCTATTTTTCCACAAATGCCCTGGGAACAGTGGGTTTTATCAAGCATTTCCCAACATGGCAGACTCCGGGGGTGGACTCCTGGCCAGCCAGGCTCCTGTGTATTGTAAGGCTGGTCCAAAGTAAAAGGAGTCCAGGGGCCGGGTGCAGTGGCTCATTCGTGTAATCCCAGCACTTTGGGAGGCAGGCGGATCACCTGAGGTCAGGAGTTTGAGACCTGCTTGGCCAACATGGTGAAACCCCATCTCTACTGAAAATACAAAAATTAACCTGGCATGGTAGTATTGTGCGCCTGTAGTCCCAGCTACTCAGGAAGCTGAGGCAGGAGAATCACTTGAACCTGGGAGGTGGAGGTTTCAGTGACCTGAGACCACATGACTGTACTGCAGCCTGGGCAACAGAGAGAGACTCCATCTCAAAGGAAAAAAAAGAGGAGTCTAGGAATCCCATGGTGCCTTGTCTCTCAGAGACCCTGCTGATTCCCAAGGAAATGCTGCAGCGGCAGGACCTTCCTGAACTTGTGGTGCCAATTTTGTAGGTGTTTTGTAAACCAAGCCAGCATAGGGTCAGGCAGACCGTACAGCCTCCCCACCCTGATTTGGTGCAAACAGGACTCTCAGGGCTGGATGACCTTCTTGTTCTCTGAGTATAACTAGGATTTAGACAGACAAAGAGACCATTTACACAAACAACCAAAGCAAACAGGAAATCCTTCCGCTTCTGAAGTCGGGGTGGCGTTCAGCTCCTCTTTTGCCTTCGCTCCTCTCCGTGGGCAGGATGCTAGGGCTGTGTGTTCATGACCTGCAGATTCAAGGTGTGTGCTGTGGAGCTAGCCCTGGAGGAGAGGGGAACTGGAGAATGTGTCCTGGAGGTATTTCTGCAGGATTGTTCAAAATTATCTTGTTTTTGCTGGGTTGTGAAACTCTAGGCAGTGACGACCTTACTATCTCTAAGGCCACAGAAACCAGCACAGTGCCTGCCAATCACGATTGGCGATCCAAGTGCTGGGTTGTTTATAAAGGACAGAAGATTTGGCAGAACTAAGCATGCATCAGGAGTTGGTGGGTGTGAGTGCCCTGTCCCTGCTCTGGGCGGCTGCTGGTCCTCTGGGTCCTGCTGTGTGGTTAGATGGCTTCCGAGCAGCCTTGTCCCGCCAGCACTCACCCTGCCCTCTTTGCCTTCTCTCCTCCAGGGTATTTGGTTTCCCTGTCCACTATACTGACGTCTCCAACATGAGCCGCTTGGCGAGGCAGAGACTGCTGGGCCGGTCATGGAGCGTGCCAGTCATCCGCCACCTCTTCGCTCCGCTGAAGGAGTATTTTGCGTGTGTGTAAGGGACATGGGGGCAAACTGAGGTAGCGACACAAAGCTAAACAAACAAAAAAACACAAAACATAATAAAACACCGAGAACGTGAGGATGGAGAGAAGTATCAGCACCCAGAAGAGAAAAAGGAATTTAAAACAAAAACCACAGAGGCGGAAATACCGGAGGGCTTTGCCTTGCGAAAAGGGTTGGACATCATCTCCTGATTTTTCAATGTTATTCTTCAGTCCTATTTAAAAACAAAACCAAGCTCCCTCCCCTTCCTCCCCCTCCCGCTCCTTTTTTTTTTTTTTTTCCCGATCAGACCTTTTGTTTTCTACTCTTTTCAGAGGGGTTTTCTGTTTGTTTGGGTTTTGTTTCTTGCTGTGACTGAAACAAGGTTATTTCAGCAAAAACCAGTAACAAAAAATAGTAACAATACCTTGCAGAGGAAAGGTGGGAGAGAGGAAAAAAGGAAATTCTATAGAAATCTATATATTGGGTTTTTTTTTTTGTTGTTTTGTTTTGTTTTGTTTTGTTTTTTTACTATATATCTTTTTTTGTCTCTAGCCTGATCAGATAGGAGCACAAGCAGGGGACGGACAGAGAGAGACACTCAGGCGGCCGCATTCCCTCCCAGCCACTGAGCTGTCGTGCCCGCACCATTCCTGGTCACGCAAAACAGAACCCAGTTAGCAGCAGGGAGACGAGAACACCACACAAGACACTTTTCTACAGTATTTCAGGTGCCTACCACACAGGAAACCTTGAAGAAAATCAGTTTCTAGAAGCCGCTGTTACCTCTTGTTTACAGTTTATATATATATGATAGATATGAGATATATATATAAAAGGTACTGTTAACTACTGTACAACCCGACTTCACAATGGTGCTTTCAAACAGCGAGATGAGTAAAAACATCAGCTTCCACGTGGCCTTCTGCGCAAAGGGTTTCACCAAGGATGGAGGAAGGGAGACAGCTTGCAGATGGTGCATTCTCACGGTGGGCTCTTCCCCTTGGTTTGCCACAGAGTGAAGGAGGAGAACCCGGGAGCCGTGTTCTCCCGTTTCTCCGTGCCAAAAAGGGGGTTAGATGAGGTGGTCGGGACCGTGGACAGCTGAGAGTGGAATTCATCCAGACTCATGCAATAACCTTTTGATTTTTTTCTAAAAGGAGACTCCCTCGGCAACCTGGCAGGGTACGGAGTCTTCAGGCCCAATTTCTCACTTTAGCCGATTCGAGGGCTCCTTGTGGTGGGATCAGAACTAATCCAGAGTGTGGGAAAGTGACAGTCAAAACCCCACCTGGAGCAAATAAAAAAACATACAAAACGTACTGGTGCTTTCCTGTCTAAGTCGCCTTTTGTGTGTTCTTTTATGAGGCCCCCACCATCCACCCCTCTGTGCACAAGGCGGCTCCTGGCCCCTGGAATGTGATGTTTTTGGTCATCTCCAAAGGCTGCAGTTTTATACTGGGAGGCTGATGACACCTTTTATTATAATTATTCTTATGGTTCTGGTTATAATTATGTTTGTTTTGAGATTTTCTTTAAGAAAACAAAAACCCAACACCCTTCCCTTTAGGTTTCAAACCAAGGTGCGGGAGCAGGGTGCTTCTGAGTTAGCGGTGGCTCTGGTGCCCTGGCTCCCACCCCTCGGGCCAGGTGGGCCACTGGGCATGGTGACAGCTGGGCGGCCAGGGGGTCCCCGAGGCCTGCCTTCCGGGCTCGTCACTCTTCTCTTCTACTTCCCCTCCTCTTGAGTCGGGTGTGTCAGGGCTGGAGGGAGGACCGGCCGTCTCTCTCCTTGTATGTGTGGTTGGAGTGGTGTGTGTTTCTTTTCTAGTACTCGGTCTGATGATAGCTGTGCTCTTACCTCGAGTCAGCAGCACCCGGAGCCCCCAGTGCTCGGCACTTGGTTCTGCCTCCTACAAGGCAGGCGGCCTGGCGTCGGCAGTAGGAAGGGACGGCGTTGTTGGCTCCAGGGTGAGGGCCCGACGGGCAGGTGCTTGCCTGGGTAGATGGGGTGTAGATATGTGGCATATAGAGATATATATTTTATAATGGGAGGGGGGAATGGCACCTCCTGGGACTGGCAGAGCTGGGAGGTGTGTCGGCAAGCACATGGCCCCAAGTCCACGTCCCTAGAAAGATGGGGCCTACGGTGATAGGCGCTCTATAAATACATAGGGTCATGTATAAGAAATATTATGGGGTGGGGAGTGGGGGAAGCGGGCTCAGTGTGCTGAGCCTCGGTCCCCACTGCAGACATAAACCCCACACCAATCAATCTCGCACGCATACACAGGAGCATATTTCTGTACTGATGCATAACGAATGCACTCTCACACACGCCAGGGAGGTCCCAGCACTCTTCTCCCAGGGTTCAGGACTTTGTGGAGTCAGCCCGTGCAGCTATTTACCTCTGTTGCCCTGATTGCAGGTAGACTGTCAATCCCAGAAGTTGCTAGGTGCTGAAGGCAGGAAAAGGAGGAGGTTTTATTTCAGCAGGTGCTCTCCTCTAGCAGGTAGTGTTCTATCTCTTTTGCCCCTGGTGATGTCAAAAGATTCTTCTGTTAGCAACCTGTGATACTGACCTGCAACTCTAGGCACCAGTAAAGTCAGCCCTCAACTCCCCCTACCTATTCTCCCCCAACTAAAATCAAATTGACATCCAGGTCTGTCTTTGGCCAGGGGGCTTTTATTGGGGAAAAAAAAAAATGGGACAGTGAACCTTACCTATTGACTAAACCAAATTAGTAATTAGTGACAACCAAACCAAGGCTTTGACACCCTGCTCATTACTCAGGAGTAAATTCGCACAGCTGGTGGCCGGTCTCACTCCTTTTTGGGGTGCTTGGTCCTGGACCCCAATCTACTGTCTCCTTGACAGATTGGTGTTTAAGATCACGCCCAGTTGCTTCCTGTCACCTCTGACAGGTGGTGACTGGGCCCCTGTGGGGCTGGAGCAGCGAGGAAGGGAGCCTCTGCCCCCTCTTTAGAGTCCCTGTGCTAACTGTGGTGCTCGCCCAGCCCCTCCTTGCTCCAGCGGGGGCTCCGTCCTTCAGGCCTGGAGTCCACCAGTGCCACTCCAGGAGGGCTGGGGGAGGAGGGGCTGCCTCATGCAGTCCAAGGTGCTCCCTCCCCCGCCGGCTGTTGGCTAAGGTCTTCCCGGCTCCCAGGATCAGGACGGAGTCATCTAACACTTCAGGCTCTCCAAAGCCACTGTTTAGTGACAGAGCTAGCCTTTCCCAGTGGCCTGAGCTCCACCGGAGCTGGGCCTGGTGCTCCACCCAAGGGATTGGTGTGGGGACTTGGAAAGAGACTTGGTAGCCAAGGGCATGGCAAGCCCGGGGGATGCCTGTGGGCCGGCTTGCTCCAGGAGGGAGTGCTGAGCACAGAGGAGCCCTTATGGCTGACAGCTTGAGAGCACTTGTTCCTCCAGGTCTAGCCACTTGACTAGGCCCTAGAATGGATCAGATGCCCCAAAGGTTGTGGGCCCCCCTTGCAAGGACAAGAGTTAACAATCACCAGCTTTTCTTCCAGCCCAGCCTGTGGTCTTGGTCTCACAGTAGAACTCGGGGGAGAGTGTGGGGGCTTTGGGATGGTGCCAACTTGGCTAAGCTGAGACGTACTTAATCCACTGCAACCCTGGGGCCTCTGGGGACAGGTATTGGGTCACCTTCCAAGGGACGCTTTGCTTCAGCAGGCTGTAGATAAGGCAGAGGTTAGAGGCGGTGGAGTAGGGCAACCAAGAGGGCCTAGGGAAAATTGCCAGGCATATTCCCTGTGGAATTTTCTCTCCAAAGATCAGGCCCATTTCCCCCTTAGAAACAAGGGTCCTGGGGGTTGAAGATGGCAGCTTCCCCCCTGCAGGTGCCAGGTGGAGCATGATGCCAGAGAGATCCGTGGCTCTTGCCTGGGGGAGGTAGCCAGGTGCTAGTACTGGGGACACAGCCCTTGGCCTCCTGCCTGAGCAGGAAGCTGGTTTCCAGCAGGTGGCTGGTGCTAATCCCCACCCCAAGGGACTGACAGGACAGTGAACAGGCAGCCTGGGGGGCCGCAGGTGGGCACTAGCAGGGGTCTGCAGTCCACAGATGATGACGTGAATCTGTTGCTCGCCTTTTCTGTCTAAGCCCCAGAGACTTCTTGCTATTGAACATCCTATTGGAAAGCAAACTTTCCAAGACAGCATCTGCGACCTGTTAGCTTTTGAAACGGGCTTGGGTATGATTGGCTGGTAGGGATGCGCGTGTGAGTTTTGGCGCGTTGCAAGGATTGGGGCAGGCAGCCCGGCAGGAAGGCAGGCTGACACCGAAAGGGTCTCACAGGGCTTGGCTCCCCTCGCCTCCCGATAATTGGCCACGAGGCCATGGTGACTCTGGGGAAGTCGCTCCCTTCTCTAGCAGAAGGAATATTGCAGCAGAGCCATCTGGGAGATGTTCCTCTAGGAAAACTGCAGTCATTCATTTCATAGTTTTGCTTATATAAATACAGTAGATTTGGGAGGCAGTTTTGAGTTCCTGTCTCTATGCTGCTTGGTGCAGAATTGCAGCGGCTCCAAGTGTCTTTCAGAGCTGTTGCTTTTAGGAGCCCCCTCAAGCTGCGGGCTTAGGGCCAGGGCAGGGAGGGGTGCTGCCTGGCATTGTGCCCTGAAGAGGGGCCGCTTGCTTGCTTTGGTCGGGAGCGTGGCAGAGCCAAGATTCTGGTGGGAACCGAGTTTCTAGCCAGGCCCCTGTTTTGGTGCCGGGAGGTGAATAATCTGAGTTTGTCGATGTGCATTCTCCAGGCTGCCTGCTTCGGCGCGGGAGCCTAGAGGGCCCCCCTGGAGTTGTCTTCCAGGAGTCTTGCCTCTTTGGCAGGAAGCAGCCAAAACCTCCCGCTCCCAACCCCGGGGGTGGAAAAGGTGTTATGGAGGGATGGCCTGGAGCTAAGATGGCCTTTCTGGCTGTGCCCTGCTGAGCCACGATTAGGGAAGGTGTCAGCCGCCTCCTCACCAGGCCCTGTGCTGGGGTCAGGAAGACCAGGAGAGGGAAGGGATGAGAGGATGGACTCTGCTGTTGTAGCGGGAGCTCTGCAGTCTTTACGTTTTGGTAAAGGCAGGCCAGGGTCTTTGGGGACTGAGTTGGGGAGCCTTGTCTCTGTGTTTCTGAGACCCATATAAGGTGGGCCTTTGGTGGGTGACCTGTCTCTGACCCGAGGCAGCAGAGTTTTGGGGGTAGGGGGAGAAAAGCGAGTAGGGAGGACAAGGACAGAAGATCCCTTTGCTGGTGGTGACTTACTCACTTCCCCCACCAGAGGGCCCGGGACTCCCGAAACTCCCGTTAACTGGAAAGCTCCCTGGCTCAGCTCCACTGGTGGGGTGAGAAGGGTGGCGGCCCCAGCCCCAGCCTAGCGGCCTCCACCCCTGTGCCTGAGAACATGAGCAGCGGTCTAAAGTCCCCTGGTCCCATTTCACTTCACAGACCGATCTGGTTGCACAGCCCTAGAATTCAACAGACAACAAAAATGCTGAAATTCCTTAGAATACGCAGAGGGAGGAGGTGACTCAACAAGGTGCTAAAACATTTTATTAAAAATATATATTGTTAAATTAAGTCTGCTGTCTGGACAATGACTGTTTGTTTTGTTTTCTTGTAGTGGAGTTTAAAAGAGACTATTATTTTACTCTGATATATTATTATTAAAAAGGCATTTTAACTTTGTACTTGAAAACTAAATGAGCGATTTCATGTGTTTTAGCTGAGGCATTGAAGTAGCGGGTGCTTACTTATTTGTGGGAAATCATGTATTCATACTGAAGAATAAACTCCGTAGCTGATTTGGTAATAACTTTTACTGTTACAAACGATTTCGCTTTGACCCCGGTGGCAGAGCACTTTTACTCCACATTCCACGCAGCTAAATGCAGGACTTCCCAGGCCCTTCCCTCCCCAGCCCTCTTTCCTTTCTCTTAAGTTCCTCTTTTTTCCTTTATTATTATTATTATTTTTTTCCTGGTTCCAGCATCCTTTCACCACTGTGTTTTTTTTTTTGTTGTTTTTTTTTGTTTGTTTGTTTTTGTTTTTTTTTTTTTTTTTTAGGGTTGCTTCTCTATTTATTGACAATAATAATGTACATTTCACAGTCTGGTTCTAGGACATCCAGGGAGGGATGAGTGGGGCCCGAACGGGTCCCTGCCCCACCCACCTGGTGTCCTGTTGTATCTCTGTGTAAGTGATGCTCGTGACATAGCTGTTTATGAAATAATTAAAGAGGTCAATGCGTACAACAGATGTAGAAAGTCTGTCAGTTCCGCCTTCATCACATTTTTTTTTTGTGCCCAGAAGAATATAAT